TTTCAAAAAAATACAATACCAAAGCCACGTCGGTGTGGTAAATTTTGAAATCAAAAATACGTAACAATCATTTTTTTCAAAAAAAATATTCTCATAAATAAATATTTTTGAGTAAAAATGGGCGACATGCTCTGAAAAAATCGAACAGAGCTTGTATAACATGTTTAAATAGTTTATTGGGCTTTTGAAATAAACATATTTAGTTGTAGCCGTAAAATATTTGGTGGCCGGTCGATGAACAGTTTAAAATTCTGTACTGGAAATCATCGAATATTATTTTATCAATTTGTAAAGAAACATGATTCGACGTGTACCTTAATGTAGTTTAGCCTAGTTTTTCTTTATTATCTTATGGTAAAATGCTACCCATTTGTCAAAATATATCGATGATTCTGGAGCGAATAATTTTGAAGCCTGTCACAGTACAAAAACTACGTGAATTGACACGGCACCAGTGATTGATTGCCTGAATGTAACCTGATCGGAGCCTAGGGCACGAAACCATTGTATGTTCACACGGCAGCATTCTATCGTAGCCGAACTACTGTTCCTTCCACAGATTAACAGGATATTATCTCCAATGCGTTCACACGGTCGGGAGCCGAACGGGAGCCGAACGAGAGCCGAAATCTACCATAGTTCGATTCAGTTCGGTCAGAGCATAACGGAATAGTGTCCTCATATAAGTAGTATGAAAAAAAACATGGCTGAAAATGATGTTGGTGTCGTGCTTGTGTTCTTTCTTTACATGGCACGATGCTTTTGAGCTGGGAGAAAAATAAAACAGTCACGATCGAGTTTGAGCATGGAGGTAGAAAAAGACAAGGAACTGGTGTTATGATTTAGGTACTAGTATATCGAATAAACAGCAAACACGGCAGCTAAAATGTGTCACAGCCTATTCGCTTACGTTATTGTTGATGTTCAACTGTTGTGATATGTGAGCTATGTATGGGGGGTCTAAAAACTAACTCTGCGATGTGATTGTGCTACGCGCCGAATGTCGATTATTGCTCTCTGTGAAAGGGTTACTGAGTCACTTCGCAAAGAGCACGATTCTAATTGGTTGGTTGGTTGAAAGCGTGAATCACAATGGTCGATCGATGCAATTGCTCTCAGACTTGCAGTTGCGGAAAATCTCTGTAAGTCGAGGTCTTAAGCTACCCGAGGTTAAATTATATAAAGACTGAACTTCTTTTATGCCAGTGATAAAGAATATGGTCTAGCATCCTAGTACACATTGTTTCCTACTGATGGCAAAATCAAGAGTCTAACCTTCGGATGAATGGAACCCGCTGCAGAACGTTAGCTGTTTTTGTTAACCAGAAATTACAACAACAATTTGATTACCTGATTGACAAGGCTTTCTTTGGGACAAATAGGTTTGCGAGGTATTGTGCCAATGAAACCCCACAATTTAGAACATTTGTTGAGATGATGTACTTAGAGCCCTTAGACATTTGGGATAAAATTCTGCGTTAGTTGCATTGCAACAGTATTTTTGGACTCATGCAGTCAGGAATCGTGCAGAAATTGGGGGAAAGAGTAAGCCAGACCTGACAATAGACTAACTATATGGGACTCATTCTTCACTAACGCATGTGTAGATTAGTTTGGGCCAATAGAAGTTAAGAGAGGCACAACCACACTTAAATGCTATAGTGTTGTATTTGCCTGTATAAATATCAGGGCTATCCAACTAGAATTTAGCCCTTTTAGTGGGTAATTATTCATGCATAAATGCAATCAGAAGATTTGTCACTAGAAGCGGACCGGACAGATCAAGCTTCTTTGATCAAATAACGATACTAACTTTGTTAATTCTGAAACGGTGAGGCAGTCAATAATTGGAACCAAGCCAATATTAATCAGACAAAAGAACATAACTTATCAATTCTATCCTCCACAAGAATACAATTTTTAAGGCATATGGTTGTGTCCAATCTGCACTGTTAGAAGAATCTTATACTCACTGCTTAGAGAACAGATGATACATCTGAACAATGAGTCACTGCAAACTTTGTTTTGTGAAGATGAAACTATTTTGAACAGTTGTCCAATCAGCATTGTTTTGGAACATTCTGATAACCTGGAAACCCTAACTCCCAATCATCTGTTCCTACTACAGGCTATTCATTTACCATTAGCAGAGAAGTGATGGACAAGAGAATATTTACTATTACTACTACTACTCGGAGGAGTCGGACGTGTGTGCGATCGGCTCTGTATTCAACTAGCTGTAGCGGCTGTTTTGGAGTACTTGTGGTGTCAACCGGGCATCAGCACCTTTGTAAATATTAAATATAGCTTTCTGTATATATTTTGTTTTAATTTTCCAGCGGATTGCTGCTATCTTGGTTCATTTTTAGTTTCACTGTTGGGCGGTGAGCGGCGAGCAAGATGGCCGGCCCTCAAAACATGCCACGTCATTCAACTACGAGTGCGTTGACACGCAACCATGCTGTCAAATGTGAGAATCTGGAAGGGGTTCCAGTTAAACGTACAATTGTCATTTTCTTGTCCCGTGTTGAACTGGCTGACCAACTGACAACATCGGGGATTATTGTGGGGGGTCCATTTATTGCCGTGGAACCTCTTGTTTGCCCCTCAACTAAACTTATTGTGTCCAATGTTCCCCCATTTTTACCAAATGATTTTTTGTTAAGATCGCTGTCAGGTTACGGAGGTGTTGTGAGTGCAATACGTACGATCCCTCTTGGATGTAAAAATCCAGCACTCAAACACATTCAGTCATTTAGAAGGCAGGTTCACATTCACACCAATAATGTTACAATCAGTGGTCTAATCTCAATTGTGTATGAGGGCCACACGTACAACATATATGTTTCTACGGATGAAATGATGTGCTTTCATTGCAGTATAAAAGGTCACACCCACAGAAACTGCCCAGGTGTACACAATAACGTAAACCAAATTAACAATGTCCCCGAACCTGATAGTGAGAATACAAACAACAATACATATCAAAATACTCCTAATCAAAATGAACAAGAAAACAGTGTTGTAAATAATAATAATATATCATCCGAAATGCCTCCAAGTGTAAACAATGTTATAGAATATGATGATATAACCGAAGAGTGTAGTGATAAAAACGATATTACTCAAACGAAAGCGTCAAATAGGTGAAATTCAACCTAACAAAAGACAAAAGGTATGCATGTTGCATTCCAATGAAACGCCTTTCATTTCTTTTGTTGAAGAGAGGGTACGAACCCTTCCTTCACTCCCCCACTTTTTATGCTCAGGCGGTGGCTAATCACCCCGTCCTCTTTCCACCTCTGCGGGCGCTGATACAGATACAGCGCCGCCCCATGTTTTTGCTAACGTTCTTGTGGACAAGCCTTGTTTACCAGCCAGTTCCTCTATTGAGAACAGTTTTCCTCCGTCACAGAACCTTTTCTTCACGCTCCCAGACCCTCCAACGTTCAGTTCCAAACAGCCTCCTCTGTTTTCAGCTACATCGGACGATAATTACAATGAGTCAAACAGCAACGATGACCTTGAGTCGGTTGCGTCGGACATCTCGGAGTTGTCAGGCGTTTCCGAGGTGTCAAATACAACAGATTCTGGACAACGCATCACTGATGAATTTCTGAAATCTACCATTCACTCAAAGAAATTTATTGATAATTGCTATGATTTTTTCCTAATTTAAACACACTTTCAAAACAACTTACACATTACCGCTCAACACATCATCTCACTACGTCACAAAAAACCCAAATATTAAAACTTGTGAATAAAATAAAGAAACATGTACGACGAACTGGCCGTGCCACTACCAGTGTTTAACGGACCATTGGGTGTGTATTTTTACTCTTTGAAATGAAGATCAGTTACCTTTGATTACTACTTTTTACTTCCTTTATATCCATGGCGGCATCACTATCTGCTGTAACCCTCAACATGAGCGGGGGCCGCGATTCACTTAAAAGGTATCAAGTTTTTGAGTACTTGAAAAGGGAATTCCACTGTAACGTATATCTGCTTCAGGAGACGCGCACTCTAAGACATGAGGAACATAGCTGGCGTGTAGTATGGCGTGGAAAGTGTTCATTTTCGCACGTTACATCTGCGGAGGCGTAGCCACCCTTTTTGCTCCAAATTCTATTGTTGAGATTTTAAATGTTAATAGTGTAATGCCCAGTCACATATTACACACACATGTTGAACTTGACAACAAACCACTGCACATCTTTAATGTATATGCACCTTCCACAGCTATGGGGCGCCTCCAATGCTTTGAAAAATTAATTAATTAATACATGAATATATTGAGCAATGACCATGTGGTTATGGGGGAAGATTTCAACTGTACAATTTCACCTGGTATTGGCCGTAATGGGGGCGTTGAACCACATCCTCGTACGGCTTATATTCTTGAGAATAGTTTGCGGCGTTTTAAGCTGGTAGACGCATGGCGGCAAAAGTATGGTAACACTAGTCATTTCACATGGGGGAGAGGGAATACACTTGTCAGACTGGACAGGTTTTATATCAGTAAACACATGAACAACAGCATTCGTAAAATATCTATCCACAACTCAGCAGCGGCATTTCCAGATCATTCCGCAGTGTAGATTGAATTACTACAGAAGCAGCTTAATCCTGTATGGTGCATGAATTGTGATGTGCTCGATAATGAGAATTATATTAATCTAATCACTGAGTTCTTGGGTAACTGGCGAGCGCAACGTATGTCTTATAATACAATTCAACAGTGGTGGGATATTGGAAAGCACAAAATCAAATTACTAAGGCAACAGTACTTCAATACAAATACTCAAATCATAAGCAACTTAAACGGGAAACTGAAAATCACATTAAATATATGCAAAATCAAATTAAGAGAGACGATACACTTAATCAGACATAGACTGAAAAAAATAACTTACTCATGCAACTGACACGTACTGAATCAAGGGGTGCTGTTTTCCGTTGCGCCACCAACACCTTAATGAAAGTGACATCTGTAATTCCTTTTTTTAATCTTGAAAAACAAAAAGTTAAAAGAAACACGTCGCTCCAACACCCGAATGGTAGCCTCACTGATTGTCCACGGGAAATCCGTAAAATTGTAAATACCTTTTACAAAAACTTGTATACACAGCAAAGTATTGATAACGAGGCTCAAGATAACATTTTAAAAAAATTGCCCCAGGTCAGCGACAGCGACCGGGCTGACCTTGACACTGAAATTACATTTGAAGAGCTAACCAACAATGTTAAAGTGCTCCCAAGAGGGCGCACTCAAGGCATCGACGGGCTGCCTAATGAATTTTATATAACAATGTGGCCAGTGTTAGGAAGAGATCTTTTTGATGTCATCACCCAGTCAATAAGCGATGGTAACTTTTCCTTGTCTTGTACTCGTGCTGTAATCACGTTTCTTCACAAAAAGGGGGATACCACTAATGTAAAAATTAGCGCCCAGTGAGTTTGCTTTGCAGTGATTACAAGATCTACACTAAATGCCTGTCACTGCGCCTGCGCAATGTCATTGATAGTGTTGTCCATCTGGATCAGACTTACTGCGTACCTAACTGCCATATCCATGACAATATACACCTGCTTCGTGACAGTATTGATTTTGAAAATTCTACTAATTCTCTGTTTGGTATTGTAGCAATTGATCAAGAGAAAGCTTTTGATAGAGTGCATCATGATTATCTCAAAAACATGTTGTCAGCTTTTGGTTTTGGGGAACGTTTTATTTCTTATATAAATTTGATTTACAACTACCCTCACATTTACAACTACACGTATTAATGATACACTCACGGTACCCATTGTAGGGGTGTGCACTGTGTGAACCTCTGTTGGATAAATTTTGCAAGAGCGATATGCAAGGGATTAAGATCCCTAATGCCAAGAGCTATAATACTAAATTGACAGCTTACTGCGATGATTTAGAATGCTTTGTAACACGCAATGAGCATTTTAATGAACTAAATGAATTAAATACTTACTAACGTGCTACAAATGCTCGTATCAACATAAAAAAAATCAAAAGGGTTTTGGGCGGGGGCGTGGCGTAACCGTTGTTGACTCACCATTGCAAATTAAATGGAATAACTCTGGTCTTAAACTGTTGGGGATATACCTTGGGAATAACGAGGCATTCTTTAACAAAAAATGGATTGCGGTCGTACAAAAGATTGAATATAAACTTGATCACTGGTCTCACTTTGCCCCAGGTATGTCATATAGAGGGCACACCATTGTTATTAATAATATTCTTGCACCCCAACTTACATATTGCCATAACAGTCTTTCCCCTCCTCGCGATACTGTCAAATACATCCAAAGTCTAATGAATGATTTTTTTTCTGGCAGGGGCGCCATTGGCTACCTGCAGACGTTCTCTACCTTACTTTGAAGAGGGGTGGTCAGAATATTGTTCACATTGAATCACGCATCTTCGCAATGCGGATTCAATATCTACAGCGCTACCTCTACTCTGACTGTGAACACCCCTGTTTTAAATTCACTGACTACTACTTTAGCAAAGTTGGTAATCTTGGGTACACTAAACAATTGCTTGTAACCAACATAACTACATCTCTTGAGTCTTTGCCCCTATACTATAGTGAAACTCTCCACTTCTGGTCAAGCTTGGATAAACAACGAAGGACATGATCGACAACGAAAATAATGTATTCAGTGAACCGATATTTAATAATCCCCGTATTTTAAACCATATTAACCAAGAACCGTTATTTGTTGATCAGTTTGTGGAGGCAGGCATTATCAAAGTGCTTGATCTTATCGAGAAACATACTAAAGCCTGGCGCGTGAGTCGGGATTACTCGGATATAATTAATATACATTCACAACGGCTATTAAACACTAAATTGAGAACCATTCATGATGCACCACCCCCATCCTTAACAACTAAAATCAACTCTCTTCTTACCGATGAACAACCACTTGTTTATGACCGATCAAATTACATCTTTGATCTCTAATGTTCGGATCAGCTTATGTTGCCATTATACAGGTTGGAAAAGGGGGTATTTACAAATATATCATTAATGTTCGCTTTGCTTCTGAGCATCCAGAGCGCATAGACAGTGCTTGGATGGATATTCTTGATGTTCCAACTCAGACACAACCTAATTTTGCGGCTTGCTATGATCCACCTGTTACCAAGCTTAATGGTGAACTACAATGGCGTATTATGCACGGTTCATATACCACAGTATGGTTCCTCTTTAATGCTGGGCAATCGACTAGCATAGCGTGCCCGTTATGTGGAGAAATGGATTCCTTGCAGTATATCTTTTTGACTTCCCCGATATATCTGACCTTCTGATCCGTTTCAAAAATATAACTGTTAAGCTAACCCACGCACATAATTATATCCATCCATGGTGGTTTGTTATGATTCCTCCACAGGCACAGTGTCTATTTAATTTTACGGCGGCGGGTGCAAAACGTGCAATCCACTTGTCACGCCGCAACAAACGTCAAAATGAAGGATGTTTCAACCCCTTACAATTTTTTATAGGGCTTGTTCAGGCACGCCTCCGTATGGAATTCGACTTTTGTGAATTCAGTGGCAAACTACAAAAATTCGACAATGCATGGGCAGTAAACAAAGCACTGTGCTGCCACGATGGTTGTAAACTACACTATTGTTTTTAAACCTGTCTCCATTCTATTGTCGGTGCTACTTGTTTTAGTTTGATTTCCTTGTGGTCCTCTTGGGTCGGGTGGCGTCTTTTGAGAAGATACATAGGTGCTTTTGTACCTGGCATCAAGTTTGCTTCGTGTGGTGGCCAGAGCCAAGCTCCGCCGCACATCAAGTTAAGGTACTGTGGTACCATTGCTACAAGTGAGCATCAAAGGGATGGCTAAAAAGCCACTTAGATTTCAATAGTTAACCAGCGCAATAAATGTCTGGGTGTCTTCTAGATGACCTCATTGCCGTGGCGTATTTGACCTGTAGATTGCCTATTTGATCTGTGGTATATCTGCCAGTTTGTTGACAACTAGACGGCCTATTTGATGTTTAGTTGTTCTATAGATAGCCTATTTGATCTTGTTGAACCGAGAGACTGTATATTCGACCACATGGAACACTCAAGCGGCCTATTTGACCTCTTGTTAACTGATAGTTATACTACCCCTCCTCGTAGATTAACGGGAAATAGCGGCTCTTTTTTGGAGCCTCGGTCTGGTAAAAGTCCGAGGCGCGCAGCAAATCGCAATTCTAAACCAGGTGTAGTCAACCGCAATTATCAGCCGTGCTCATTGGCTATAACAGATGTGTTGAAAAGCTCTAGCCAATCGGCATTTACTCAGCAGAGTTTGTTTTGTTTAACAATATAATCCACCAACAGTGGACTTTATTGTATTACCATAACCAACACTGATTGGACCACGTAGAATTGCATATAAAACATTCGATCACGTGAATTTGGTGCTTATTTGTGAGAACAGTGTAGCACGT